ACCATCAAAGGAAGCTCGCTTCCTTTGATGGCTGTGGCTACAATCTTTTAAAACTACCAGTAAGGGAGATAGGCTTTGATTTTGGTTCAAATAATCACTCCTACCGGCCTCTTCTTAAGTTTAGTACAAAACATTCCTAGTACAATTAATTCTCTTTATCTGGTCTGCCTTCTGTTGCTGACAAATGCTGCTTCATTTTCTTTATAAAGAAAGATGATGGGGGCGCGGAAATGGTGGAAAGAACGTAAATGTTTAGCAGTAGAATATTGTTATGATTCAATAATCCTATCTACCATTTGCCGAGCACTTAGAATGTCAGGCAATGTAAGTACCTCCTTCCACTTTAAAAAGAACAGCAACACGTGCCTATAGATTTGCATGCTCCCTCTTTCTTCAACGGCACAGTTCTTTCAGCTGGTAAGTGCTGGCTTTCTGCCACAGGACTGTGTGGTTGTCGAGGTGGAGATCTTGCGCCACCCTCACAGTTATTCCCGTGGGTGAGTCCGTTGGTGCAGTCACTGTCGGTCCATCTCCTTGAGGGCCTTCCCCTTTCAGCCCCCCTCTGCCTTACCAGCATGAGGTCCTCCTCCAGAGGGGAAGTACAGAGACACTCTGGTCCTCCAGAGGGGAAGTACAGAGACACTTCAGCAGTGCAGGAGACGTTATTCCACTTCATAGCTGTAGACTATGCAATGGTGTCTAGACCAGTGGTTCTCAACCTTCCTAACCCTTTCATGCCGTTGCTCATGTGGAGGTGACCACCAACCATTAAATTATTTTCCTTGCTACTTCATAACTGTCATTTTGCTACTGTTATGAATCAGGTGGCCCCTGTGAAAGGGTCGTTTGACCCCCAGGTTGAAAACCACTGGTCTAGACCCTAGTTTTTCCACCTCTATTGTTGGCCATTTGGGATGGTTCCAGACTTCTGCTATTACACACAGCGCCGCACATACATAGTCTCTCTCATGAAGTGTATTTTTGCGATAGATTCTCTAGAAACGAATTGGCCAGATCATATGTTGTTTTGCCAGCTATTGGCTGCCAAGTCCCCTTCACGGTATTATACTGATTCCTCTGCTCCAAGATAGGAGGATGCCTGCTTCCCTACATCTCTGGCACCATAGTATGTTGTTAGTCGTTTGGATTTGTGCCACTCTGGTAGGTGAGAAACGGTGCCTCCTCAGACTTGTGGGTTACAAGGTTGAGCGTGCCCCCACATAATTTCATAGAACCTTTTACCTTTGCAGATGTCCAGGCCCCAGGCTCTTTTCTTCTCTGACTTTAGAAGCTCTTTCTTTTGGGGATAGCAGCCCTGTAGACAGTGGGCACACCATGTAGTGGCTAGCGAGTCAGACATGGCTTGTTGGGTTTGTGTGCTGCAATACAGATGAGAGCCCTACAGCCTCAGTGTCAGCAGTCATGACCTTGGGTCGATGGTGTTATGAGTGCTTGTTATATCCTGCGTTATTATTCTCCAATTTGTAAGATTTCTCACTGTGAGCATCCTATACATCAGAACAGGGTTGAGACAAACAGACATTGATGGATTACCGAGGTGTTGATTCATCTGTTTCAGACACACACGGCTTTTCCTTTCCTTCGTGCTCTCGCTGCCCCACAGCGATGCTGTGGGCGCCCAGCGGGCCCGACGGCATCGTGGTCCTGGGACGGTCGTGGTCAGCAGAACAGATGCGGTGCTGCCCTCTGAACCTACATTCTCATAAGGAACACAAGGCGACAAAGACCGTCACATCTGTCTCTTTCAAAGTAGCGAATCCTGTAGGTGGACTTTGGGTTTCCTTTTCTGTGCATGTGTGTATTTCCACCCAGGTCAGTTTGTTTTAGAACTACATGTGATAACGTGTAGTTATCCTTGCTCATTTCACCTGAGCTGCGAGCTCCTGGAGGGCAGGCACGCTTCCCTCTTTACCGTGTGTGGAGCCCCTGTGTGGAGCACAGTGTCTGGTGAGTGGACCCTGCAAGGGCCCCGCGTGGCCTCTGACAGAAGCCCAGATTCTGCAACACCCCGGTGAGAGGTTTCCGCACGCAGGGCTCGCACTGCCCAAGCCAAGCCATCCCGGCCCATTCCGTCACCACCCTCCGTGTGGCCCCGTGTGACACGCCGGCCTGGAGGTTGCATGGCAGACCGTAGAAAGCCAGGGTCAGGTCCCTGGGAGACGGGCTGTGTGGAAGGAACAGGTTAGCCAGGCAGAGAGGGACCTAGAGAAATGTAAGTACTTGGCTACATTTTCCACATGTAAGTTTTGCATATCGCTCAATCTCACATCCTCGGTTCTGTGAAACGTGTTACACATTTGGTGACTACATTTGCTTAGGTGGGGTAGCACCTGGCTGCAGTCTCCACAGGAAGCAGGACTCTGGCCTCCGGGCCCCCTCCCAGCCAGCAGCCCAGTGCCGCTCTGAGAGGAAAGGAGGGGCCCTTTGTCTCCACCTGCCCCTCCCGTCCCCAGCCCCATTCTCTGTCTTTGGGTTGTGCCGCTGCGTCTTCCTCCTTTTCTCTGTGGAGCGTTCGATGGCGCTAACCTAGCGAGTGATCTTCACAGGCTTTAACTTGGGACTTAAAGAAGTGCGATAGGAATAGACACAACACAACACTCGCCATTCACCTGGGGCTTTGTGCACGATTGTGTGGCACTGATCACAGCCATCACCAGTGCCCGGCCACTTCTCCCACCACGTGAACGGCGGCAAGGGCGTTGGAAGCGCGGACTCCTCCCCTCCCTCAGGTCTCTACCCTTTGCCTGGTGGAGACACCCTGGAAGTGGGAGCACGCGGCACTTATCTGTGTGTTTGATTTCTTGCACGCGGCCTCGTGTTTCCCAGGGTCGTCCATGTCGCACAGCGTGTCCGGACCTCGTGTTCGGTCAGTAAGGTCCCGGGGTGTGTCTGTAGACTCCACGTTTGTGCATTTGTCATGACACTCGGGTCGCTCCCACTTTTGGCCACGGTGTGCAGGCTGCTGTGTATGTTGGTGTGCAAAAATCTGTTTGCGTCCCTACTTTTGAATCCTTGGGGTGTGCACTTAGTAGAGAATTGCTGGATCGTGTGGTCCTTCTTGGGAGAAAGGTGAGGCTTTCTACTCCTGTCGAGTCACAGTCTCAGAAACTCGCAGGGGCAGTTCTACCCTGCCCCGTAGGGCGGCGATGAGTCCGAGGTGGTTCGGTGGCCGTGAGTTTGCAGTTTGGTGTAAGCTGTTATTGGCATGTCATTCGCACGTCATACGGTTCAGTAGTTCAGTCACGTGAAGAGGAGTTGTAGTCATCACCGCTCTCGTGTGAGTGCAAGTTGGGGGTTTTTGATGGTCGTTTCCTGACGTTTGGAGAACCTGCCGTACTGTTTCCCGTGACGGCTGCCCCACCTTGCCTTCCCACCAACGGAGGGTGAAGACTTGTTGCTCCACGTCCTCTGACCCTGGCCGACCCTTTTGTCTCAGGCTGTTGGGTCTGTCCAGTGTCGGCGAAGCCGACCTCCTTTGTGTACTGTCCCAGGTTAGCACTCCTTGTCCTTTGCTCTGGGGAACCTCTCAGCTACAGGTGGTTGGGAAACTGACCCCGGAAACTGCCGTGTCACAAGCGGCGTGGGTGGCCCTGATGTTTGCTTGCCTACGTTCAGTGTGCAAATTCTTTTCAACATCCACTGTACTGTCAGGTGACACCATGCCACAGGAAATGGATGATAATCTCTTCCTCTTTCCTCGTTAGCCAAAGGCCTTTGAACAGTACTTGAGTCTGGAAGACAGCAGGCTGCTGAGCCACCTGAAGACGTGTTCTGCGCTCCCCAGACTGCCCTATGACCTCTGGTTCAAGAACTGCTTTGCGGGCTGCTTGCCCGAGTCCAGTCTGCAGAGGCAAGTATTTCTGCCAGTGGGCCGCCTTCTCACACGACCGTTCCTCAGGACACAGGTTGACGGTCGAGCAGCCCCATGACCTGATGCTCACTTCCCCAGCCAGCAGCACAACACGGAGCTCTGGCGATTTCCTAGAGTGCAGTGAGGACACGGGAGGGCTCCCCGACAGTGCTCACGTTTGGAACCGCCCTCAGAGTCCATGTGGACATGGGCTTTTCTTTTGCG